CATTGGTCTTTTTTGTGCTGCTGGTTTAAAGGCTACGTGAGCAACACAGCAAAAGATAGGAAAGACGTAATCCCGCCTCAACTTTTAAAGTTTTCTCCCTAGTAGGAGCGACGCGCCGCGCCAGTGCAGTGGCAGCATAGAGCGCTGAGCAAAGTGTTGCGAGTTCACGCCACACGCCATCGCGCCTTCAATTTTTGAGACGCAACACGGACATCCATCAAGCACGAATAGTTGTATCTCTACGCCGTCATCAACGAGCGCCCTTTCCCTAGCTGTTTCCGTTAGTTTTATTTGTAGTGGCGTTTCAATCACTGCGTGAGCAACGTAGCCGCGGATAGGAGAGACTAAATCCAGCCTTGTACTTTAAACTTTTCTCCCGAATAGGAATGCCGTTCCATTGGCGGCATAGAGCGCTGAGCAAAGTGAGTTCACGCCTCGCGCCATAGCGCCTTCAATTTTTCAGACGCAACACGGACATCCATCAAGCACGAATAGTTGTATCTCTGCGCCGTAGCTTGATACCTCTGATCGCGCACGCTTGCGCGCTTTGCCGCTAGAGAAGCACGATAAACTACTAGACAAGATAAATAATCACACCCATGGTAACATGATTACTCATCAAAAGCTAATAACAGAACATAGTACAAACTAAAAATACCCCATATTAACACATAATAGAGAAATTGCCAAGCGTTTATTATTCACCTCGTTCATACCAGAATGCTTTACGAGTGAATTCAAACTTTCCGCTCGCAAAAAAAAAAAAAAAAACAGTATTACTGCGATGAAAAAAGTTCCCGTGCACATGCGTACAATCTTACGGGTCAGTCAAGCGATACGCAATCTGAAAGGAATGTTTCCTAATTATTTCCCCTGTTTCGTTTTAAGATAAAAATCATTCCAATATTAATTTTCTCACTATGTCCATTGATTTTTCCTCGCTGAGAGAAAACATTCGATTCGCAATTTCAGAAGATAGTGAATGTTCTTTTTCAAGTTTAAAAATATAGCAGGGTAAAAGACGTCATGAAAGCAACGCATACAACTCTGAAAGTCGTCGTGCGTATTTGGCGATCCAGAGAGGGACATGGAAGAATAGGATGGGACACTGAAACGGACGACAAGTGGCGGCTATTTTTGGAGTGGATCTGATTTGCTAATCGTTTCGTGAAGTTGTATAACTCCCTGCCCACCCCGTCCCACCCTGCCGCCGTGCCGTCCCGTTGACACTCAAGTGTTGAATGTTGATCAATTTGCCATTCAGTCGGGATTACGGCAGCGGGAACCGATCTCCTCCGCCTCTGAAGTAGTAACATGCACAATTGATTGCAGATGCGCGCTGCAACTTGCAACATTCGTCGTCCTATTGCCCGGTCGCCAATACCGGGAGTGTCCAGCTTGAAAGGGGGCACAAAGACCATCTCCAGTTGTCTTTTTAGTAGAAGCGGCGGCGGAGGCAGTAGCAACTCAACTTGAAAAATCCCTCCTGCCAATAGGATCCTATGAATGCTTCTTGGGATGATTCTGACAGTGTTCACTGTTCACCCTATCTATACCAGCCTCCCTTCTTTCCTCCTTCTGCGCTACTCCTATGTTCTTTCTCCTATTCCCTCTCCCTTCGAATTTTTTAACTGACGTTCCTTTGATCACCACCCTCGCTGTACTTACCCCCTGCTTAATCCCCACTTTATTTTTTTTTACATTGTTTGTTTATTCCCTGCCCCTTGCTCCTATCTACCTTATACACTTTGCATTCCTCCTCGATAGAGATGCGACCCATATTATTCCCCCAGTTTATGTTATCCCTCCACTTTTTTCTCCCTACCCTAACATCCATTCCATAGTTTAACCCCCAGCCAACACTCTTTCGTTTTTGTCCTCTATTTATCCAAAATTCTTCTTCTTAATCACTCTATCCTATGAAATAAGCTATAAAATAACCTGGTGGGCTGGTCAATATTTAGGGTACTTTTACACTCATTTGTCTCCTTCACACGGCAAAAAAAACAACAATTAAAATAGGACAATCCTCCAACGAACCGACCGGACCGATATTCCCATTCCCTTTTTCAGAGCCAGTCAAACTAAACAAAAAATCGATTGTGGGAATTGCAACTAAAAAAAGTAACCAAAGTTAAGTTTTCTGGCTAAATGTATTAATTTAGAAATTATTTAATTTGATTAAACTCTAAGTAGAGTATTCTGATAGAAACAATATCGTAAAATTTACTATCTTGTCTTCAATATTACATCTTGAAATTAACTATGATTCTCCTTCTAAAAAATCAAAAAGTAAGTGATTTGTCTTTGATATAAAAATTAACTAACTGACAATAAGGAAACCAAAATTATTGAAGTAATCAAACCCTTAAAATTGAAACACTTAAAGTAGCTGATTAATTAATGACCACCTGACTTCTAGTCATCAAAATAAAGAAAAATTGAAAAATCAACCTTTGAATAATGTTTGACCTGTTTTTCTTGAAATGCGGGATGCTTCAACATTTTAGGCTTTCATTGAGGCCCTAGATGCAAAAAGGGCACTTCTCGAATGCAGTGTTTCAGAATCTCTGTTGCTAATTAATCCTTTTGAGAGGAATTTAATGGGTGATTTTTCCAGAATTCTTTCCATAGGAAATTGTGGGATCATTAGGAATATTCAGTAAAATTTGTAGTGAAATGGATGCATTCACTTTCCTTACAATGAATGAAATATTGGAGGAGCATCTGAAACTCTGCAACCCAGAAGTGCCGTTTTCGCATCTAGCGCCTCAATTTTAACTTATTGCAGATAATCATCGGTTCAAGATTCACAAACGGAGTAGTAAACAAAGATACTTCAGAGTAATAGTCTTTTGATCCTCTGCTTTCCATTTATGTTGATTGGGACTTTGACTGGCACCTTTGTTTGAGTCAGCAACACTGAAAAATTGCATCAATTTTAGGTGCGATGTTGAAGTAAACTTTCGGTTTGCGTTGGGTGCTCAACGCTGACAGATATCACATGACCGTTGACTTGCCCGTTGGGATGTGCCTTGTCGGTCATCTTTGTTGACTAGCTGGACACTCTGACACCACGAGCACAATTACATTCAGAGGTTAGCTCAATGCTCTCAACTACCTATTGAGGCTGATGACTTGTTGACTTCCGTTTGGTAAACAGTCCAGGGCATCGGGCAATTCAAACGGAGTCGAACAATGCCAAGCGTTTGGAATCAGGTAATTCCGTTGCCCAACGGTCTTAAACAGTTTACTTTGACAACGCAGCTGTTGATCCATGAAATCAAGCTATACGAATAGAGGAGTCTAGACAGCTTGTCCTCACAACCTGAATCCACGCAGATCGAATTTCTAGAAAAAAAAGAAAGAGACGTAGTTTGGAGGAACTCACAATCAGACTTAGGCACTTGGTCGGCTCCCATGGAATACAAAGCTTCATTAATTGCTTTAAAGGCTAGGGGTTCCAAGGAGACAATGTGAATTGCAAGTTCCTTGCGGTGAATCCAATATCTGTGGATCTGCTTGCTACCAGTATTTGATACATAGATCGCACTGAAAGCACTTTAAAGTGATAGTGAGTTCTTACCAGAATCTCGGTGTGGAATTCATAAAAAGAGATTTTGACGATTGAACGAAGCTGCTTGAGGTTGAAAATCAATGAGGAACCACCTGTCGCTCTCACGAAGATAGTACTTCCGGCATTTACGCGAATGTCTGACTTGCAGGCACCAAAATGCGACGCGAGACGCAGAGATACACCCGAAGAGTAATTGGTGCGATATTGCAGAACTTTTTACACAAATTTATCCACGAAACTTTGATGAAGTTGAACTTGATTTCAAAAATGCACAATGATTCCGAAGAAGAACATAATCTGTAAACAAAAAACAATGACAGGTTGGAGATGGTGGCGCGCTCGTAGCACTAGTGGTTTCTAACACGAACTAAAGTATAATCGCCCGCCAATTTTAAATTAATAAGAGCCTCTCACGTGATGACTTGAATTAATATTGTGGGTGGAGTAATATGGGTAATATTTCGAAATGACTCCAAGAATTAATACTCATAAGTTATTCGAAATAAAGTGATAGTCGTTAATTGAGCTAAACTTCCTAAGAAGTAAACAACATTGTTAGTTTGCTAACGTGCGCTGTCGAGTCATAGTCATAAATCGAAGGCTCCAAGACCTAAATAAAAAAAGAAAAATATGAAATGATAGTAATTAAAAAAATAAGTAATAACTTTAAAAATTGTATGAGAACATTTCAAAGCAACTTTGGGATCATACGTTTAAAAGTGGCGTAATGCGGGCATATATTTCTGGTACTGTGAACAGTTTTGTCAGTTTTTTTCTCTTTAGGGTCCCTGTTTTCTTGTAATATATTGTCACGAGGAATTACAAATGCATCGCTTGAGAAAATGCGTTTTATTTGAAGTATTGATTTTCCCAAGTAGCTGGCTTGCCGGCTTCTTTAATTATTCTAAATCTGAAGAAGTATGTCGCAATCCAAGGGGCCCGAGCTCAAACTCTAAACCCTTCCTCTCCCCCCCCCCCCCCNTTACCATGACACGGCTAGCCCTACCGTTAGCGGGTTAGCCGGGGTAATACTTTTACAATCATCAGACTCCCTGAAACCTTGCAGATCAGATGCTCAGTGGTATTCCAATTACTGTGATGAATATAATGATATAAGCTAAGTTGATAAGCTAATAATAGCATATTTGTTACGGATTTATCGATTTTTCCCGACGCCGAGCACCGGCATCTACCGGCACATAACACTGTTGCATGATTCACTCCATTATTTTATCCTCGGGCGATAAAAATTTAAGACGTTATTCGAAGAGACTAGAATGACGAGCCGATACAGTCATATTTTTTTTAATTCTTCAGTTAATCACGTACATTGCACAAAACGGAATTGAATATGAATAATTACTCCTAACCTTAATTACATTATCACTATTCCAACATGGCAACATCTAACGCTTATATTTCCTTGGCCGCCATCACGAAGTTGCCGCCATCTTGACGGATCCTGTGAACGCTGAACGCCGAGCGTACTAGTTGTCACCCTCCTAAAATTTTCATTTTGTCATCTGTTGAAAAGATCAGTGAATTCTACAACTATAACAATGGTTTACACCAGGAGACCAGGTAATTAACTAACACTGTCATTCACTAATTCTTTCTAAGGTGCCGTAACCCGAGCCGGTGAGAAGCGAGGACCGTGAATACATTAAGCTATGTCAGGCCTTTTCCTTTTAAGCTTTCTAATACGTATTAACCGGAATCATGCGTATCCAAATGTTCTCTGTATCTCTCAATTTCACGATTTGTTTTCTTCATCGTGTTTTTCCTTTGTCCCACTAACATTTCAGTTACTACTGAAGACATTCTCTTACGATTCACAAAGGCATCAACCCTTAGGTACTCCATCAAGGCCGCAGTATTCATATCCTAATATAAGACGCTTCTTGAGTCCACAGGCTCGTTTTTGGTGGACAATCATGTCCCAATTCCGTTTTGGTTACGATGGCTAAAGTGCTCTGCTCTTATTTCAGCTACTCAAAATCAGGCTAACACAACGGCCCCAGCCTATTCCACCATGTCCACAAGGAACAGTCCCCAGACAGGCACTTTCCCAGCGCAGCAGCAGTATGCTGGTAGTGTAACTACTGCAACTGGCAACTACCAGCAGTCCTACAACACTGGCAACTACAACACCCAACAGACTGTGAGTTTACTATCACCTCTCACCATGAGTTCTTGTCTAATCCTTCTACCTTGATGATGCTGAGTCTTTGTCTGCAGGCACATTGTAGAATTCAATTTTTTTTCATGTTCATTTCATCTTCTAGTAACGCAGTTGAAACAGGGCATATCAGTTTAGTCAGCGCCAAATTGTCAATTCAATCCGAGGCCGTGTTTAGATGTCCTAACAGGTAGGGTTAGAGGAGAATAGTAATCGACAGTGTAAGTCTGCTATCACGTAACTTGGTTTGCCACATCACAGACTTCCTGTCATACTTTATTTTTTAAACGGGAAATTGCTCCATGGCAATTCTTTAAAACTGCCGTGATTTTTCTTCTCTGTGCAAAGAAAATTCTGCAAAAAATTCAAGGAATGATGTCAATTTGTCGTCCTGTTATGTAATAACGTAGAGGCGGATAGTTTCAGACACCGCAAACGAGATATGTGATCGCAGACTTACGCTGCCGAAATGCTCCAGCGCAGGAAGTGCAGCGGTAATCAGCAGAGGTATCATCAGCTCAGTTAGCAGTTGTTTACTTAAGTACTGTTTGCCAGTGACCGCACTGCCGTCATCCATCAGCATTTGAGAACTGGCCACAGCACAATCGTGACCAGAGTCACCGCTGACGCATTAATCTGAGAACTCAGCTAGTCATTTCAATGAAAGAGAGTTCCCTTTTCCAATAGACTGTGTCTACAGAATATTTAGTGTTATTTTGCAAGGAAATGCACTGTAACTGCTATAACTGTTGCTTTGTTGGTGAAAAGAAGGGCCCTGCAACACATCAGTGCCAAATTTCTACATACTAGTATTCCAGCTGCTGATAATAGGTGCAAGTAATCAAATTTTCTAAGCAAAACAAAGGTGTTGCTTGAAATATCAAGAAATTCAGTGGTGTTCAAATTTTGTTATTTATATACGATCATCTTGACCACTGATGAGCTTTAAAAATCAAACTTTCCACATGCTGCTTTCCAGTTAGGTAAGGCTGAAAGGAAACTATTCAGAATTTTTTAAGCAACTGAACAAATGATGTACATCACCAGGATGTCCAAAAACTTAGTTACCATGTCCGAAATTTGTATTTATAATTGATGTAAACTTTGCATATTCTTCAAGGCAGGCTATGGACGAAGCACCGTGGCACAAGTTTTATGTACCAACATCTTCATTTCCAAGTTTCTGTGTCCGAACTACATCCTATTTTTTTTAACAGGAATAATAACACGAAAATTGCGAGTTTTTAAAAGTTGTCATTCTGTTTTTTAAAGAATTTTATTGGCAATTTATCTGTGAATTAACAGTCAGTAAGCAGCTTTCATTTTTTTGCCATTTTTTGACTCCATGATATTTTTAAAGATGATTAGTGAAATTCCTAATCAGTTACAGCTTGTAGTTAGAGACTGTTAGTGAATGTGATAATTTTCGATCAGGTGTTTACTAGGACAGAAGCTTGTGTTTGTAGTGTTCAGTGCAGTAAAGTTTTTTCATAAGGGATGTCTGCCTTATGAAAAATTTCCTCTTTTGATGAACATCTTATCCTTAGCACATTACTTGTCAGGAAATTTCCAATTAATGTACCTTAATCAGGAGATTTTGTGTCTCCTCAAACTTACTATCCAGTGATCTTTGCTAAAAACACTCTCAAAGACTTGTCGGTACTTTTTTCAATCAAGAACATCAGAGAACTTGCAAACCAGGAAAATTTCAACATTTTTCACAATAACAAAAAAAGATTAGAGTATGAACACACTTATATTTAGAAGCCCTGAGGAAAAGTTTTCCTTACTTTAGTGGTTCAGTTTTGACAGTTGCTGAATCTTTCTCTGATGGTTGAATCGTGCAAAAATATGAAACATAATGAGGTCCACTTTCTACGTTCAATGCCACCAGAGTTATTGCCTTTCAAAAAACTATGTTCACTATCACCTCCTGTAGGAATTTACATTCCCACAGCTCATCATTTTTTCCTGATATTTGGTATCTTTTTTCTGTGGTAGTCAATTTACTTTAATACAAACTAAAGGACTGGTTTCTCGTTAGTTGTCACGACGTATGGTGTGGTTAGATTTTTCTGAAGATCTTCTGTCCTGAGTACCTCCATATTTTGCTTTAATTAGGGTGCTTAATAAGTAGAGTACTTTCATACTTCATGGGTATCAAAAGCTGGTAGCATTCTATGTTCTGTCTTTAAGAGTCATTTTAGTATTGAACGTTCAAAAAATAAATGGAGTATTGTCAGTCGGGAGAAACTTTGGAATAATAATTCAAGTGTTCCTCCTTCAATTGATGTGTCTCAAAGTGCCAAGTTTGATTCTCATCGATTCCTCTAGTTGACAATAGACTCCATATGAGCTTAACTGTGTCTGCGTGATGACCCTATACGGTAGACCATTGTCTCAAATTTTTCTTGCGACCCTCACAAGATTTTCTTGGTTTATTTTCCTCCATGCTAATATCTGTTTTTTTCTTTTTTTTCTTTTCCCCCTCGAGACAGGCAAACACATAGATGCGTCGATGATATGTTGTCTGGCTAGTGGTACTTGGCAACATCCGTTTTCACAAACCTATAGTGAAAATTGTTTCGATTTCTATGTTGTCGTTATGATAATACCTCGACCGAGTTTCTGTCACATAGCTAGAACGATTTAGTATTCCATATCCCTGGGGTCAAATGTCTTCTCCCCACCAATTTTTGCCCAAACATTTTGGCTCCTTTCTTTTTGTGGGAGTGCTTTTCGGTTATATGAATGACCAATTCGCACTCAAACAGAGTCTTAAGAAATTGGGTGTGAATATTTCATGGGGAAAAGGCATTAGAAGCAACTACAGCTAAGTTTGTTTTAGTCGTGAAGAAACTCATTGCATGACCCTTTATTTTAACCAAACGTAAAATTCGAAACGATGTGTTTTGTTCGGATTAATTAAGTATTAGGAACTTCAAAGAAATGTGTTTTTTTTTCATCTCAGCTCAGTCAATGCAGTTTTTGCAGTAGTCCTTTGCTGGATTCTCACAAATCTCAAAATCTATCAGACATACTTTACAGAGTAAGATGCAAGATATCGCTTCCTTAAAACAGTTGTTTTTTAAATTCCTTCAATTCCGACTGGCTTTGACTCTAAAGCAATTGAAGATCATCTAAATTCTGCTAGGATTATTGAATGCTTGTTAAAAGCAGCCTGGTTTCTCTCTTCTACTCTGATCTAGTTTTTTTTTCTCAGATAATGGACTCTCTCATTGGCAAGAGCATGCATGCACATTTTCTTGAAGGGCCTTTTATATTTTATTTTCTTGTGTACATTCGCTGATTCATTTGAAAACTCAAGAAGTATACGAACACTCAGTATACACGAACATTGTGGTAGTATGTCAAAGTGGCTTGTGTTTTTCACTTGACATCTAAAACAATCAGAGTGCAGAAGAAGAATATTTGTATGCTTTTTGAGCCTCAGAAATGTATTAGTGGAAAAAATCATATTGGTTTGTCTGAAATCGGTATACTTTATGGCTACCAATACCGGATTGCTAATCTTCGATCCGATGGCAAAATATACCATTTTGCTGATCGTTTCCTGTCTCCCCGCTCGGTTTAGTTCCCTGCAAAACAAGCAGCACCTGTAACACCGGCAGCTCAACCTCAAGCACAGGCACCAGTGCAAAATATCAAGGATGAAAATAACACACCTATGGAAACAGGTCAAGAAGGAGAAGAAGGAGGAAAGAAGGGATTCTTCCGCCAAAGATTCGGTGGAATCAAATGTAAGTGTTCCGTCTTAATTCAGGGTTGCCACAGTCAAGAATAACCGGGAAAGGCTGGAAATTTTAAGAAGTCGCAGAAAACCGGGAAAATGACGAAAATGTCAGGGAAAATTTGTGAAATCACCTCCATTTGCTTTCTAGAATGGGTTTTAGATTTTGAACAAGAAATTTTGCTCGTAAACTGCTTTCAAATATGCCTTCTTAACCATCGGTGACATTTTCAATTGTCAGGGAGTTTCACCGAAATATGTCAGGGAATTTTATTTTCTAAATTCTGTGGCAACCCTGATAATTGTATTGCAAGATAGCAATTGAATTATTGAATTTTCTCATATTACAAGTAATATACTTTTTTCTAAAATTCATACGGAAGCATTTATTATCTATACCTTGGTTCTATCATTTTTTTCAATTTGAAGAAGTCGTTTTCGCAGTGCTCTCTGGGAAACCCAACTGTCAAAGCACTCTGTCCTCCAACAGCCCTTTAGAAGGCTTACTCTCTGTCATTTCCAGTATTAAAACTGAACCGGGCGCCATGCCGAAATGCTTCTGTAAGTGAGGGTTTGGGCTCTTCACGAGGAAGATGGAACTTGCCATGAATAATTCTTGAAGCAGCAATTCTGTTCTACTTAGGACTCCTGATTTGTGCCCCTCACATAGTTTCATGTGCCATGATAAGAAATATGCGTGCTAAAACTAATATTTGCCTCTACTAAAAATAACTGTGGGTAGCTCCTAACTAAGAAGCTTACCTAGTAAGATGGCATCTAAAAGTTTATCCTGAAGTTAGAACACGGGTTACTTTTCATTCGACCCTCTGCAGCTTCTCTTTCACTGAATATTCCCTTTGTCTTTTCATCGGAGGGACTCAATCAGGCACTTTCTTTGGCAGCCTCTTTTGTCTGGTTAACATGACCTGAAGACAAAGTTATTCTGCCATCGCACGATCTCATTCATTTGGTCATTTTGGACCCGACCTTTAGTTCCCTCCTTCATATTTTGCAACTGTGTATGCACCTTGTGGCAAAGCAAACAAGCCTTTATTTTTCTTGAAGATGAATCAGTAAGAGTCAAGAATATTCTATTTTCGGAAAAATTGCAGTAGGGATTTCAAAGTGCTCAGCTGCTAACAATGCTCCAAGTTGTACAATCTGAAGAGCTGTGCAAAGCTTATGCATCATTTCTATGTAGAATGACTGATTCTTGCTAACCTCTGCCGTACTTAAATCCACATCAGTTTCTCTTAGTATATCCTGGCTCTGTTTTTACGTGCAAGAACTGTGAAGATGTCGATCAGTTATCATAATCAATACTTATTTTCTCATCATACAAAAACCTTTGATTTTCAGACAAGCCCAACAAGCGAGTGAAGAACATGAAGAGAAATAATGTCCTCCGGCGAGTGATCAAGCCAAAGAATTCTATCATGTGTCTTCATGAAATTATCACTGGTCTTCAATTCAACGTCAATGAGCTTCCCATGGGACATGATGGACTTCAAAGATTTAATGTCTCTGTCAATGTGAGTTCTACTCTTTCAAAGTCTGTTAACTAATTTTGTTTAAATATTTTTATCGACCAGATTAATATAAATTATATTATTAGTTAAAAGTTCAAATTCACTGAAATTTAAACAGAAAAGTGTAATTGGAGATTTACCTAACCTGTGCTATTGAGTAGCTACAAAGCTCCAGCGGTCTGGAGAACCTGAAATTGTCAGAGGGAAAGAGGAATTTGTAAACCTGGGAAAGTCAGGTCCTCTACAGACTCAGAATCTTAGAAAAACAAGATCTCTGTTAAGCAATCCTTCATTTTTTGTACATTTGAAGTTCTCGCCACTTTCTGTTGAACTCAGAGCTCTGAAAGGAGCCAGAACTATTCGACAACGTGTAAGTCATGGCAGCGAACGAAAATTTTCTATGAGGTGAGCTCTGCATTTAATTTCGGGTAAAATATAGGCACAAGTGTTTTCTGTAGAAAAAGTCAAGGGAGAATTTTAATTTGGTTTCGAAAATCTGATAAAATTTGTATCAAAAATTGACTCGGAGCCCTTTTGTAATTATTGGGTGAATTATCTGCTAAACAAAGTATTCAGGATACATGTTGAAAACCTATTTAAACCTTTCTTGCCTGTTACTGACTAGTCTGGTTTTTTGTTTCAGGCTTACGGTAAAACATATGAAGGCAATGGTCATTCTAAATTACAGGCCAAACAGGTTGCTTGTGAAAATGCCCTGAAAGGAATTTTAATTGATAGAATGGTGAAGCAAGCACAAAAAGAAGGTAAACAAAGAAAATCCTGTTCTTATTGCAGATTTAAATGTTCAAAACCAATTTGGATAGATTATTTTCACAGGCCCTCATTTCTCGCTTGACATAGTGCTATTTTGATGCGTGACAAAATGACTGATTGTAGATTTAATCAGAGGAAAAATGTAGTCTGCGGAAGATTCACAAAGAAAGAAAAAAGTGCTGTGGTGGTACATGGTATTCTGCTGTGATTAAAAGGATGGAGATTCGATTTGAAAACTGTACCTGATTTTTCATGGAAAGACAAAAATTTAGTTAAAGTTAAACTTTTAATTAACTGTTTCCAATCCTAACTACTCAAAAATGTTAGTATTTATTGTAAATTCTGGTGAATATGTTTCCTATTTGTTTTTAATTGTGTAATTTCTCACAGCCTCAGGTGATGTGGAAATGACAGATGAAAATGGAGACTCGAAAGAAAACCCTGATGAGGTCATCCCATGGGTAAATGTAGCTTCATTTGCCCTTCACAAATTGTTCAGCGAATGGCAAGCGCAAGGAACAAATATTCCTTTGGACGGAATTCCATCAAACGCAACTGCTGGCACTGTAAGCTTTCTAATTTCCTTTCTACTGCAATTTTATTTCTTTCTTTTTTCTTCCCTACCTGAAGTAACAAATCTTATGAAAGCCCTTTCTTTTGAGATTATAACCATTTGATCTTTAACTCAGGCCCCCAAATACACAGGGGTACAGAATGTACATTCTAACTTATGGTATTGACAGGTGTGGAAAAGCAAGAATTTGAGGAAATTCCCTAAGATTAGGCAAGTCAGAGAATTTTAAGACTAGAAATTTAAGTTATCTCTTTTCTTGAAAGCTGAAAAAAAATATTTGGTAAAATTATTTGAAGAGAACAACAAAAAGGGTTGTCCACAGGATCAAACTGTGTGCCAGTCTGGCTCACGGTTTGATAATGCAAATAACATAATGTCTCCATACTCATTGTAAGCCACACTCTGAACAGTAAGAAGCAGAATATTATTCAATGAAGAATCGCAATTTTAGCCTATTGAATGATAATACCTGACGTATAAAGGTTCACATGTTTCTGTCATTTGCATTGATATCAATGCCAACAATAAAAGTTCATTTTCTGTTCTACACATGAAAATTTTTGATGTTACAAATCGGGAAAAATCCAGGAAAGTTAAGGAATTTTTCCTGCTGAGTCTGTACTCTGTAGACATTGGAATAGTGATGAAACAAAAAAGTCAGATGCTCATTGCTTTCTAAGAAAAAAAAGTGAACCTCATAATCTGAAACTTTCCGATAACACTCATCTTAAATCAAACCTTAAGCATGATCAATCATTTCTAGAAGGTTAAAGGGGCAGTTGCTTTATTCAGTATTTTATAACCTTCCATCATTATTTGATAATAACCTTCTTGGAATGGCGTACACTATAGTATAATACTGAACTGTCCCCTGTTTGAGCGTTTGAAATAGCTTGTGAGGTGCCATTTTTAAAGCTTTAGTTAATTTGTGAACACTGTTTGGCACGAGCCAGTTTCTGTCCTTTAGTTGAGTTATGTCAGGATCAAAAAGTATTTTGATTTTAAGTAAATCGAAAAATAGTTTCGGGAGATTGGGATTGGGTGTTTCTGTGCTTTAAACAGATGCCTTAAGTGTCTTGATCTGCGCCTTAGTATGATTCTATTTTTAGAGTAACATGCTGTGACCTAACATCTCGAACTTGGTTTGTCACAATCTTAATGACACCTCCTTTTTTGTATGTTTACAGCCAAAACCCGCCAAACAACCCAAACAAGAAATAAACAGGCCGCTGCCTGAAAACCCAACTTCTTATCAACCTGTAATGCTTCTTCACATGATCCGTCCTGCTGTCACTTTTGATGACGTCACCAACCCCGCCCAAGGAGGGGCTCCCTCTTTCACAGCTACATGCGTAATGGACGGAAAAACTTATTCTGGAACTGGTGAGTTTTTGGAAATTTATTTTATGTTTTCTCTCTTTGAAACTGACCCTTTAATTGACTGAAGTTTCCTTCTTTGAACTTTCCATATGCTCTCTTCCAGCCTTCATTTGTCAAACCGGTGATATTATTAATGTCACTCAAGTTTATTTGCTTACTGTATTCAAAACACGCAATGAAATAGTCTGGTCCTTTTAATGGAAAGATCATAGGCCAAGAAACCTGTGAGGAACCCCAGGAAAACATTCTTGTGTTTACTTATATCCAACAGTTTTTCTTGAGAGCAGTGAATTCGAACTTTTCCTTACCTTTGCTACCTTGTTAAAAATGTTTAAATCAAGGTAAGGTGTTAAATTCACTAATTTTCATCGCGCAATTTGAGTTCTAGTTGAAATTTTTAGAGAGGAAGTGTTTATCAGAATGTGTAAATTCATACCTTTTCTGGCTTATATATGGTTTTAAGCACATACAGGGTGATCCAGACCACCCGTCCACTATCTTTTTCTCGAAAACGGCGGAGAATTGAGCTTCGGGACCAAAACTTTCATAGGGTAAATCGACCCCAAAGAATCGAATGAAAATATTTTCAGCCCCCCAAAATGGTCCCTTGGGGGGGTTTTGGGGGGGAGCCCCCCCCGTTTCTCGCAATTTTCAAATGGGAAGGGTATGTTTTGACTTTGGATTCGGAATCTACGGTAAAAAATAAGAAAATTTTGTTCTTTGCACTTTTTCCGTAAACCTCCATTTTTTGGAGTAATGGGGCATTTTTGGGGCAATTTTCAATTCGACGCTGTAAGCGGCCAAATCATCCAAATTTCAAAATCTAAAAATGTCCTGAAAGGAGAGGTCAATGCCTTTTTATTGATGTGCCACATGACCCCTGTTGCTCCAAAATTTTGGGGCTTTGGAGGGTCATGAGTCGAAAATGTCGAAAGGCAAGGGTATGTTTTGACTTTAGATTTGGATTCTACGCGAAAAGTTACGTAGAATTGTTATAGCGCGTGGCCTGTTTGCTCAAATTTTTTTTTACCCCTTATTTTGTCCAAAAAAACACGGCTTCTTACGGGGAAATGGAGTTCTTCAGTAATTTGGAGCAAACAGGCCATGCGCTATATCAATTCTGCGTAACTTTTCGCGTAGAATCCAAATCTGAAGTCAAAACATACCCTTGCCTTTTGACATTTTCGACTCATGGCCCTCAAAGCCCCAAAATTTTTGGGGGGTCGTGGCCCCCAAAATTTTGGAGCAACAGGGGTCATGTGGCACATCAATAAAAAGGTATTGACCTCTTCTCTCAGGAGATTTTTAGATTTTGAAATTTGGATGATTTGGCCGCTTACAGCGTCGAATTGAAAATTGCCCCAAAAATGCCCCATAACTCCAAAAAATGGGGGCTTAGGGAAAAAGTGCAAAGAACAAAATTTTCTTATTTTTTACCGTAGATTCCGAATCCAAAGTCAAAACATACCCTTCCCATTTGAAAATTGCGAGAAAGGGGGGGGGCTCCCCCCCAAGGGGCCATTTTGGGGGGCTGAAAATATTTTCATTCGATTCTTTGGGGTCGATTTACCCTATGAAAGTTTTGGTCCCGAAGCTCAATTCTCCGCCGTTTTCGAGAAAAATATAGTGGACGGGTGGTCTGGATCACCCTGTATGTATATGTTTTCCAACCCACCAATGCCACAAAATTCAGAAGATGACCGCAAATCTGAAGTCTCTTACGAGCCTTAAATTAAAGGCTGAAGTCTTTCAAGCTCTCCTGTGCCCTTACAAAATGTAACGCCCATTTAACTTTTCCGTCATTTTGCATCGATGATTAAAAATAGTTATATAATGTGTTGTTGTTTTGGATGCTTTTGCCATTCAGAACCATGTTGACCCCTATTTTATTGTGACAGCCTATGGAATGAGGAATCTTTACCTTATTATGTGAAGGCAAATTTTTTCGGCAAGTCATATTCCTCATGCTCGGTTAAACAACCAGAAGTTTTTGACAGATAAAGTGTCGTCTGTCATTCAGTCAGCTTTTTTTCTGTACCAGTAGAAAATATAGAGATACTCCGTAATCTAACTATTTCGAGTCCAGAACATGGCAGATAAATGTGTACTTAGAATTCTTTTTTTCCAAGCAAGGTTTTTGAACTGCAAACTGATCTGTCCTAACTCTGCTTTGGTTCCACATTTTTTATTCCTAAACATTTAGAAAACACCCCGCAGTGCAAGGTTACTAACAACTCGACACAAAATTTTTCACCATTAGGTCTCTTATCCACTGTAACATCACATTTGTTCATTAAAATCAAGCTTGGGCATCAAGTTAACCTTTTTAATTAACTTGTTTCAGGTTCAAAGAAGAAGACAGCTAGAAAGAATGCAGCAAAAGCTGCTCTTGCTTCCCTGGGAGTCATCTACCCTCCAGAAGCTTAAGTCAATCAGCAAACTTTTAATTTCTCTATCAACGTATTTAATTCAATAACTTAACAGTAAAATCAGTTTTATCCTGTCAACTATTCTTACTTGATTGTAAGTCTGGTCTGCAAAATCATTATTTTGCTTTTACATATTAAGATATATAAATGTCCAATCCAAAAAGAGTGTAAATAGATAAGCCATTACGTATAGATCTCCTAATTTAATTTCTGTTCGTAAAAGCAAGTTAGACCTCTCAGAGGACCTGCATATTTATGTTGTAGGTCAAAATGATTTAAAATTCTGTCTGAAAATTTTTCATCTTATTCCCTTAAGATTTTGCGGTCCAAGCTTCATAAGCCTGTATTGTCTGTACAGTTCAAGGTGAGTGCTTGCATCAGAAGACTTTTTCGCATACTGCATTGATTTTAAAATTACTTCTAACCACAGGGCACACGATGGGTACTCACTTTGACCATGTTGAGTTCTTTTTTTGCAAAAAGAAGTCTCTCCACCCCTTGAAAGCAAGAATGTCACATTCAATGTAATTAATTTAAAATTTTAAGTACTTGGTGTTCCTCTGCAATTAGTTATTGTCTTATTTTGTATTGATCATTTTTTTTATTTCAAAGTTTTATCATTTGTTTAAAGGAAGAGAAATTTTCCATTATTTCTCTACTAGGACAGAAAGTTCGGTTCTTCTCCTATTTATTTTGAAGTAGGTTTTATTGATTTGCCCTTTTCAGCAGTATATTGTCTTAAGCATGTGACTAAGTTGATATTTCTATCAATAAAAAGAATATCTTCCACAGGAATGAAATTGATGTCATCATTTATTAATCCGTTTTATACTAATCATATCTATTGATACCAGTAATTTATAGTACCAATGAACATGTGTAGTAAGTCTAGTCAGACCCCCTCCTTGACAAAAGTTGCACACAATATATTATGCTCAGATACTGAAATTGATGTTAAATGAAGGTTCCTTACACATTAAATAGGTGGTAAAGGTGGATCCCAGATAAATCATAAAGCGAATTTTATTTAGCGGTTCGGTACCACTTTTGTGCCCAAACCTCCGAGCTGCCATTTTAGTTGAGTTCCGAACTTTCCGTTTTATTTGAACTTCCGATATGGTGACTAACGTGATTTTGGTACCACCTCACGAGTTAGCTCTAAAGAAGGTTCGACCTATCGTAAAGCAACGGACCTGATTGGTCGAATCTGGTATCAACGGTGTCCACTGGTGCTGGTGATTAATGAGACAAACTGTGACAGAACTTCTCGAAGAGGTTCGGAACTTTAAATAAAATTTGCTCATAGAATTTCCTGAGTCCATTAAACACGTCCTCTTTCACCCTTTTAAAGGATTCATCTTATACTAGTTTCAATATTGTTGTTGTTTTTTTCTTGTAATACTATACGTAACAATCAACAGATGTGAAAGAGTTACGTCTGACTTCTTATCAAACAATTGAGGGGCTTAGTTGTTGGTATAGCACTTGTAGAAGGTCGCGCTCCCATGTAGTTCTGAAGCATCTCTCTCAGCTCCTTGTTCTCTTGGCTGCACACTGTGTACTTCATTTTGAGAAACTCACATTCCAGTTTTGATTCGTTAAATTTTTGCCAAAAGCTGAGGAGTTTGTTGTATGGCTCAGGCATCTGAGAAACAGAAAAATCCATTACTTAGCAATTCATTCACCAGTGAGATAAAAAGTTGGTCAGCATCAAGGGTCTAGAATCTTTCTAATTAATATTGCATTTCCGAGAATATGTCTTAAAATTTTACCTTCTCATCACATGCATTCAGAGGATGCTGATTCTCACAGTCAGCGATTTGTATCTTCGTTATGATAGGAAGCAGTTTCTCCCTGGTGGTTGTCAGTTTTTGACAGTTTTCTGAAATCTGTTGCATTTGCCTGCCTTTTTCTAGAAGCACTTTCAATTCCTGAAAAATATGCAATGATTCCATCATATGTGCCGCAGAGACAAGTAGATAAATTTTCCACAAAGTTTAATACAGAATGAACAGAAAAATTTGTGAATTTTGGTCCATTAGAATTCTAAGGATATCTATAAAGTGGCAACTGGGCTTTCAAGAGGTGTCACGAAAAATCTCAGATTGAAGTTAGAGACCACATTATGAAAGTGATCATTATTGGATCGGACGTACATACTGGTCTGGCCGGGATACTGGGCTTTTGTTAGATACTGCAAAATGAACTGAAATATCAGATTGTACGGGCCTGCTGAACCGAATTCTGCAGAAAAAAATCAAATCACATTTTGGAAAAAATGAGTTAGGAGCAGTTTGATCTCAGCTATGCACACATTCTTTCTCTTCAGGGATTTAAAAGCAAGAAAAAATAGTATGAGTGTAAACATAGGAGTCAAACTTAACGTTCAAAATTGACTCCAAAATCTTGGTTCCACCTTGACTTAGCCTGAACTCACAGTCAGTTGGAAAGTGGTGCCAAACAACAGAAATATGTCTCTGAACTTGATGGGCACACATATTTTATTGATTTTCTTGATCCTAGGCCCCTACCTCTGTCCTCTTGCACGATGTCAGCAAGTACAAAACCTTAACTTGCCATCGCCTCTCAGTTTTTTTCATATTTACAATCTACCTCATAAGATTTCTATACGTTTTCTCAAAAGAAATGGGAACTTACCGCTATCACAGAGGAACTAACAACAGACAGATGCCTTATTCCAGCAGCATGATCGTCATTGAGCAGTTTCATTTGTTTTCTTAGCCTCTGGAATTTTGACGTTAGATCAGACTGCTCAGTCTTGATGTTTTCCAGATTTGCTTTATGACTCATTTTCATATCTTGAATTTGCTTTTTCAGTCGAGATATTGTCTCCTAAAATTTGTACAGAGAAGACTACCCCTTTAATTAATATTTCGATCTGATAGTTGGTATTGGTTAGATATATTGAATTCAAAGTATTGGTGGGTGACTAAGCTGTCCCACCGGTCTAGGTTTCTTAAGTTTTTTTTGAAACTTGGAAGAAGGGCAGACCATCTAGATTTTTATGAATTATCACTCATTGATAACCAAGTAATCGTCTGAAGTAGGCAGGCAGGTTTCCAGATATAACAATGACAAATAAAAATTTGAAGAATTCAAGAACTGAAAGTAATTTAAAGAATAGGAATGAGAGTCAAATGAGACAGCTTTGTCTAGTGCATAAACAATTTTAAATGTGTTTTATTTTCACCTCCTAGCACCTTCCTTTGCCCATTATAAGCATTAAATAAATAAGTATCTACTTGTAAGTTTTAAATGGATAGAATCTACCAGAAAACCTAACTGCTCTTCGTGTTGCCAAATTTCTTCCCATGTTTTTTGCCTAGATATTGTGACACTTTGAAATTTTCTGCGAAATTCACTTTGATTCCCCTCGAAGAAGAAACTTAAAGTTTCAAGTCAAATCTTACTTAGTTTTCTGTCAGAAAATAAAACACAAGAAGAAATTAGGAGACATCTGATCTACAATCAGTCAGGTTGCACCTGTTAAATGTGTCCAATGAACACTTCAATGTATTTAAATTTGTATCATCAAATTCCATACCATATACTTGTGGAGACAGCGCATATTCTCTATTCTATCCAACGAGCTCATGCCATCTTTGATTTTTAAAGCATTATAATGAACTGTAATCGGCTCAATTACAGCTGAGTAATTTCTCAAGACTTTTTGGCACTCCTTAGCCAGAGCTTCTAGTGTTTTTATTTGTGCACCTTCCATTTTCTCTATGCGGCACTGCATCTGTGACAATAAGTACATGATGAGATTCAATGAAGTATAAATTGGTCTCAGGACCACCCATGGTTAATGAAACATTCAAGACCATGAACTGTCTAGAGAAAATCTTAAATTGCCTTTGCTTATAGTTTGTTTGATCATTCCATGTATTAGTGAATTAAATACAGTGCAAGAGTTGTCATTATGTTCTAAGGGTTCAGTGCATGGAAACGTTTAGTGACATTTAGGTGGCTTCAAGTAGAACAGAGTTGAAGTAAAAATTTGCTCAGGAGGACCTTAAAACTGAAAAAAATAAGTATATTCATGTTACAAGACTGAAAATTGACTTAAAATATTCTATTTTTAGTTTGTACCGTGTTGCGCAGTTCATCCTCCTGTTCTGTGGCTGCCTTTTCACTCTCTTGCAGTTTCTCTGCAGAATTTACTTCTGTGAAATACTTCACAGTCCCAAGTAATTCGAGGTCATGATTTGCTACTGCCTGAATGTGTTTCTGCTCTTTATAAGCCTCGTCTAATATTGCAGATTTTTGGCTCTCATAATTCTCGTGAATATCATGGAGTCTTGACTCATGCATATCTTTTGAAACAGATAACATACATAAATGAAACAACAAAGGAGTCTTCTCCAGTATTCCCTCATGAAAAATCTTCTAAAAAAGTTCCAAAATTGTACAAGTACCTAAGAAATCTTTTTAATTATGAGACCGTGTATAGAATACCAAGAAATTTGTCATGGCTAAATTTAGATATTATTTGATATGATGTCGTTGTTTATGTAGTGCTCCTGATCACTAAGAGCTTTTAAAATGAACTTCTCAAACTGCCAAGCTCCATGGAAACAGGGCTATAAGTGAATTTTACAGTATTTTAAGTGCATTACCTATCCAGTGGAAGTGTTGCAACATTTGATGAGTGATTGAGAAAATTTCTTTTTTTCCTCCCTTGGAAGATGAGATGGAATATTAGAATCCAATTCTTATAAATTGAAGGCAGCGTGCCTTTGCTTTTCTCTACATTGGTATGAAGAAAGTTCAGTTTTAGTAGTTCATTGTACTCTAGAGGTCTTGAAGAACATCGTATCCAGTAGGTACAGACTACAGAAATTTGGCCAGTGCCAGACTTCTTTGTACTTGTGCGCAGTCCTTTTAAAATTATGTATTTCTGTAATTTAAGCACTGAGAATGGAATGGGTGATGCCAATAGACTATGAATTCCATGAAGCGATCAGTGTCTTAAGTAATAAGTAGGTATGTTGCGAAAACGAAGGAAAAATAAAATGATTGAAGTCCTGCTTACCTATAAGTTTTTTAATCATTTCAGAGTGTGTCTTGAAAGATAACATGTATTGTGCCTCTGCACCGTCCAAATCCAAGAGTAAAGTTTCAATTATTTTATTTTTACATTTTATTGCAGTCTCAAAAGTACTCCACAGAGTCTGAAATTGGTTTGAAGCAGACAAAAGAAAAATTTCAATTTTCAAAATCTAATTTGTTTATTTTCAACTTACTTCTAATACCTACTTTTTTTTATATTTTATTTGCTTTTTTATCATCGCATTGTCTTAGAAAAGATAAGAGGTAAGACAGTAGTTTCCAGTATTTAAAAAGACGAAAAGAAAAGAGGAAAAAAGAAGGAAAACTAACACAGCTCTCAAATTTTGCGGTTTTTGGATGAGTAGGTTCTTCTAGATTACCTACCCAGAGAGGTTTCAGAAAAGATTATTAGTGTTAGGCATATGAGTCCTCTCTCTGATGTAAATACATCACACTATTTCTGTACCTTCATATCATCCTTGAGATCTTTATTCTTGATTTGTCGAAGCACATGTCTCCACTGTTGGTTAATTTTTGCATTATTCAATCTTGAAAATGCCTCCTCTCGCTTCAATTTGTTCTGTGAAAAAAGTTGGTAAAACCCAGATTAGCAATCAAGACGGTAAAACATCACTTATCATTTGGTGGAATCCTCTTTTGCTGTTTTACTAGCTTTCAGTTGAACTTTCTTATTTACCAACTCAAACAACGTTCACAGCATTTATAAGAAAACCTTTTTCTAAATTTTCTTAAATATATGAGGGTTCCATGATGGTTGTCGCGTGATTGCACATGGCATCAGATTATGATTTTGAATAAGATACCTAAGTAGTGGGTGCCTATTATTATGAGAAGTGAAAATTCTAAAATTTAATACAGGATTTTCTCTGAGCAATGAATTTTTATAGTTTTTGATTTCTCGTCTCTCAGTGCATATTTTGTTAGAATCTGATAGAACTACTCATTTAAATTTTGAAAACAAGTTTGTTTTCAGTTTTTTGGGGTTTTTTTCATTCCTCTCTCTTTTAACTTCCCCAGTCTCTCTAAGGGGTCCATTACAACACATTTTTTTAAGGCTACTCAAAGTAAATGAGCCCCATGAGTTTTTTATTGTTTCCCTCATCCAAATTTTTCCTATACAACTGTAATATTTCATGCACCATTAGATTTTAAAAACGTGTAATTTTCCAATGCTCCAGCTAATTCATTATTTATTTATGGTGATATTTAGATTTCAGATGGACTCTCACTTTTAAGTAAGTCGCAACCAGTTGTTCCTTTCGCCTTCGTGCTTCCTCTTCAATTGCTGCTCTGTGTTGCAGATAACGTATTCTTTCTTCCTCTGACATCCGTGCCAATTTATTTCCTTTTCCTTTTTTCTTGGGTCCCATTTTAATTGATGTAAATATCCGGTAGTACTGAGCCTGCTTATTTGATTTTTATTCTTGCAAGAGGTGACTTAGTTACCTGTCAGTCTATTAACTACCTACCAACACAGATAAATACAAGCTTTTATTTTATGTAAAATTTTATGGGAATAGGAAACTGTCCCTGTGAGAAATTCTAGTGAAAATTTGGTAAAACAAAGTTCAGAATATTTTGACAAGAGAGCTTGAATAACATGAGCTCACATACACCTGGGAATTTTTCCACACCTATTTATTTACATCTGTAACTTAGTTACCCCATCAAGAAATGGCAGAAATAGCTGAGCAGAACGTTATTTCTATGTCAGCACATGTTGCATCAGTGAGCAACTTTCCCTCTTTTACCTCTGTTGTTTTCTTTTTATTTTTGATCCTCTCAGGCTGAAATTTAGAAAAACGATTCTATTAAGTATTTTAACTTGTTGTGGGAGGAAGGGAGGTGGTTGATTAATATTTTCACTAAACCCCTAAGAATCATTACCAAATTTTTAGAGTCATGTACTGAGTGTATTCAGGGAAAACATTTTATGCACACCTTAATTTCATTTCATTCTCCTCATTTTCTGCGTAGTAAAATGTTAAAACCAAGTAGGTAAGTACTTGTATGCTCACAAGTATGTACCTAACATGTAAGTAGGGTGATGGGGAAAATAAACGGATGTCCGTTTTTCCCGCCGTTTGATGCAGGTATGCTGATTCATCAGATGGATCCTACTTGTTGTTATGTTGTTATGAAGGAGATGAGGTGTGAGTTTGATGCATTTTTAGCCTTTTATTCGCTTTTTTCCTCAGAATTATAGTTTTAAAATACAGTCATCTATATTTTAATCGAAATCAGCGAGATATTTGTTCTGGAGATAGTCTTCTGTGTTTTTCTTTTTAAGAGCATCATCTCGTTTCTTTTCGAAATCTTTCTTTCAGTAACCCTGCAACGTGTTCGCGGCACAAGCATGATGACGCATCATAACAGTAATCGGTTGAGTCATCGTTTTTTCGCATTTTTGTTTTCCATGCACTACAACGCTGACAATAATTAATCGTAATATCAACGTAAAAAATCCGTTTTCCCTTTTGTTTGTTTTGGTGAAGGAGCGCTGGCGGCGCTTTCGGATCGGCGCCTTCTTCTTGTTTGGTTTGATACGTTCGTTCGCAACTCGAAGCGGAATTGATGTGTCGCCGATTGCAAGGATTCTAGTGTCCCTAACTACTTTTCAATGGATTCGTGGAGTTTTTCGGATATTAAATTAAAATTTGATAACTTATAATGTCGAGGAGAAGATCTTTTCACAGAATAAAAGTCAACATGCCCGTGAAAGAGCCGTCCAAAGTGAAAGTTGAGTTCCAAGAGGTCAGTAATTTCAAGCATCCTTTGTCTCTCTGTCTTCAGAAGAGGAACATTTCAACTTATTTTATTCTTATATGGTGAAGTACAATCTTTACTTGTGATGTATTTATGGGATTTTGCTAGTCTTATCTCCAGCTCGGCCAGAATTTGAAGGGTCAGACTTCAGTCTTGCCAGGCCTCAAGAAGCCTAACCCAGATAGGAACCCTTGGTTTCCTGTCTGAAAATTTCACAACGAACAAAATCATTTGTTTTCTCTCTTTAATGTTTTAGTAATACTCACACCCTGCAGTTCTGTCAGTCTATTTATACCCTTAAAAGTTGTACTACTGATTAGGCAGCTCAGGATCAACATAACTGACTCGTCAAGTTAGCTGGCAGATCAACTGAGCTCATACTTACGAGACTGGTTTTTGGCCCTGTTGCTTATTTCCTCTCTGTTATCATTTGTAATCTTTCCCAAGATCACTTGTATCAACTTCTCATAATATGGAGAGCGTCAAGACTGAAAATCTGATGTGGTGGACAGCTTATGTAAGGACCCTCATCTAGGGCATTCAACTGCTGATGTCTGAAATACCTATTTATGTGTTCTGTGTACTCCAGGGTGGTTTTGGTTTTATTTTTTTCAAATGTCCGAATTTGATTGAGTTTACCAGGCTTGAACTAAGTGCCTTATGTGTGGTTTTAATTTTACATGGTATGGTACTCAGTTATACAACTCAGGGGTGCAGTTAATGCCCGAAAATCGCAGTAAGGCATGTAAATTTTGGACGATCTGCATTTCACATCGTTTTCAAAGAAAAATACCCAGGTTTGCCCAATTATCACAGGTTTTTGGAACGAATTAATTCTGTATTCAATGAATGCCAAACAATGAACAAAACAATTAAATATGGAAGTGGAACAATCTGATGAAACCCTGAAATCGGATCGTTGCCTACGAGAATAGAAAGGCTGTAACTACGATTCTGTGACTTCACGCTAGTAGATGAAATTCATAAGAACCTTTTTGAAAGAAGATAAAATTTCACATCAGAAAATCTGCCTAGTTCACGAATTACATTGTCTGATAATTGAGAAAACAGCTAACCACAACACACACAAGAAAGCTAAACACAACTAAATACGTAAAGTGTTACTCCACTAAGATTCAAACAGATTGCTCATGCAGATTGCGGATTGCTCATGCAACTTCGGCCGATCGACGGTAGCTCTGATTGGTTAACACGGCGATTACTCTACTAGTTTTACGTCACAAAACTGAGTAGTTATGGCCTCTCCGTTCTCGTAGGCAACGATCGGATCAAAAGTTATCAAGTAAATGTGTGAAAATGAACAAAGTTCGTAGTCTCTGCACTCCCTGTGCTACCGTTGCCCTCTCTCTCTCAACAAAGTCTGCAAAGTCGAGAAATTACTCATTTCTCTGATATGTGCCTCTCCTTAATCATAATTCTCATTATTTTAATTAATGCACTTGTAATACAAAATTGTGCCAGACCATGCGCACCCTCATAAGACTGGATTTATACTAAAAAATTTCGAAAATATGGACATGGTCGTCCACTAAGGTTCTGTCAGTTGAATCAGTTTAATCTGTGCGCAGGACGTACGACGTACTCGTGACGAAAGAAGGCATAATGCCGAGTTATCGGAGGTGCGATCATTAAGAGCGACTCGTTCTTGGAATCGCAATGCTGATCACTCTGATCACTTTCATTCGTCAGCTAGGAGTAAGTACTACTTACTTACCTCCTCTGAAATGCATCTCTCCATCTTTTGTCAATGCTGCTCCGCCCTGCCTTTTTTCTGCTATTAGATCCTTGCCAGTAGTTTGATTATGACATATTTTGGAAACACCTTAACCGTCTTAGAGTCACAATTTTAAATTGTCAATTTCGTGTCATTTTTTATTACTCAAAAAGCTTGGAACCAAATTTTGCTGAGCTGCATGGTCACTTTTATTCAGTTGTCTGAAAATATCCTATTTTACGCTTTTTAGTAATTGCATGTTGTGCATATCTAATTGTTTAACAGTTTTAAAACCTTCCTTGCATCAGAAACTAAAGAGTAATAATCCTAACTCTTCTTCTGTTATTTATTTTTATTTGCTTCAAAAGAAGTTCTCGTCTGAAGTTACTTTTAGCCTTTTTTTTCAGCAACTGTCACATCCATCTACAGTTTTATGAGTGACCGTTACTTAAATAGTAGCCTTGGAACACTTCTTTTACCTACTTCTGTATTTGTACAAAGCTTTTTCTCTTTGAGTTGGGAATCTGCAACATTGTTTAAATTCTTTTTGGTGTCACTAAAATAGAAAATAGAAATTCCTCTATTCTTACACCTTTCTTACGTTTTACAGCTATTCATGGAAGTTTTAAGTCTGAGAGAGGGGAGGGGGTGCTTTTCACTAAAGAAACATTTTTCCTCCTCACCACTAATTAATATATAAAATAACGCGATGGTCCAAGTTCGCAACAACTTATCTTGTTCGCGGTTTTTGAAGATCTCCGCTCCTATTTTATTTTTGTAAAGAAGATCAAATCTACATTGTTCCTTGAAGTTTCTGCAGAATTTTGTTCACGAGAAAAGAAAAATCAGCAGTTTTTAAGAATTGCCGTTGGATAATTTTTCATTTAAAACGTGACGTATGACAGGAAGTCTGTTACATCGCAAAGCAAGATACGTGGTTGCGAACTTACACCGTCAAACTCTCTCTGAAAGCTCTGCTTCTAGTTTTATTTGTATTTGAAAAATAAAGTACATTGTATTTGATTGGAAACTGGACAGTAATATCATATCATGAGGACAGAAGGAGAGGGAAAGAGCTGAGGGGTGAGTGAGTTAGTGCTGAGGTGTGAACAGTTTTCCTCATTCTTGCCAACTCAAGCATGAGATTGAATTATTCATTATTTTGAGCAGTTTTTTAATTTATCTGTCTTAACTTTGTGGTACCCTTTCATGTGAAGGAAGTTTCAAGATTCTGGATTAGTTGTGGATTCAGATGCCTCACTGATATTCTGTTTTCTTTCTTAAGTAATGATTTTGCATGATTGTGGCATGTTCCCCCCCCCCTCCTCTCCCCATCCTTTTTCCTTCTTTCCTTTCCCGTATAGACTGTAGACTGCTGTGGCTTGTTTTAGTCAAAGTGAAGTGCTATTTGGAGTGCCATTTATAACCGAACTTTTTTATTTCTGTCTCCGCAAGTCCTGAATTATCTGTAGTGTACCTTTTATCTCTCAGTAATTCTATGTATCAAAATTATCTGTTCCTCAAAGGCACCATTTATTGCTGATTTTTGTCTGGAAGAATCACAAGGCCTAAGTAAAATACAACAGCATCAATTTTTAAAATAAGTTTTTAAATTAGTGGAGGTTCTCTATTGAATGGTTACAAAAAGTTTCTTTACCAAAGCCTTACTCTTCTCTATTTTTGACCGTTGTAAAACACAGAAGAATTTAAAGATTTTTTGTTTTTACGGATGCGGCTGAGGTAGAAATTATATTACAATTCTAACATAATACAATACATAAATTAGTAGTATGATATAATTTGGAGAAATGTTGGACCCAGGACAACATGAAGAGTAATTTCCATACTCCAATATGTTGAAAACTTTCAATGATGTTGAAAGGACCCATTACAAGAGTACTTTCCATGATTTTCTTAATCCTTTTGCTATTAGTTCTCATGGATTTTACACCTTTTTTTGACACTTTTTCTGCAGGCTTAAGAAGATCAGCAATGCCGGTTCGCAATGGGCTAATCTCCGAAAGTCAATCAGATGATGACGATGATGATGATGAAGGAATTTTTACCAAAATTGAGAGACCTAGACGACAAAGGTAATGTTATATTTATACTTTTCCATGTATATTTTTGGCACTAATACTTTATAATAGGAAAATAAATGAACAACCATCAAACATTATACAGAAACATATTTGATTGCAAAAATTCACCCTTTAAAGGTTTTCACTCAAATATGCATGATCATCAAAATTTAAGACTTGCTTTTTGTTACAAAAGGTTTCTCATTTTTCTATTTCAGGGAATCTCGAATGATGGTATCACCTAGAGAGCCAATTCCTTCCACCTCCAGGAACCGCACTAACAGCACTGAAAGATCCCTCCAGGACTCACAAGAAGGTATGTTTTCTAATTTTCAATGCTGTATTATTCCATTTTAAATTCATACAAGTACTGTTAAGTAGTTGAAGTAAATCAAGTCGATTTTTGTTAATTCTCTCGTTGCTCCTGCCCAGAAAACAGCAGCAACAGTATTTTGAAATGTAGCCTGCTTCGATCAAAAAAATATCCTGTGAATTAAATTGGAAAATTTTAAAAATCTTGATGGTTTCTATTATTTACCTCCTCCAAGTTTGTTTAGTATTATACCCAAGCCAAGAAATTCTCTGAAAAGCATGTTGGCCTCCATTTTTGAATGCAGACTATTTTTGGTATTTTCAGACTCACAATAGAACAGATGAGTGTTGATTTTTCCCCCAAGGCTGGAATTTATCATTTACATTATTTTCTTGCAGGCATTAGAAGAAGCACTCGTCAACGCAAACTTAAGTATGAAAATTACAGTGATAGCTGGATCGTTGGAGCCCAAACTCTGCGAGGTTATCCCATGTACAATACACGGGGCGAAGCCTACTCTCAAGATCTATCAGGTTTGATTATCAAAGTTTACTAATTTTTTCTTCTTCAAAATTTGTTTCCTTTTTACATATTTTGGGTGATCTTCCATTATTCAAACATTTTCAAGTTTCATTCTTTTTTTTCGTTCTCCCTCTTCCTTTTTTCCCATAATTGACGTGCAAATGTTAACATTTGATGATGAAACCAATTTTCATCCTTGCTCGCATATTCTTTCTCAGGAGAGAAAATGACGTAAACTTGGGCTCTCTCTTGGCAGCTCGAGGCTCCTTGGGAGACTGAAAATGTTAGCACTTCCCCATAAATAAGTCAAAGTATGTCTTTTCGCATGGGTGCAATACTATGCAAGTTCGCAGCTGAAATCCAGGTTTTCAGATATTTCTTTTTAATATTTAAATACTATTGTACCTTCTCTTTTTTACTTAACCTTTCTCTCGGCAGCTTGAGATTCTGAGAGATATGAATTGTTGATTTTGTTCCTTAGAATCAATTTGCAATTAAACTTTGTGGTTATTTTAGTTGCTGAACATCAAGACTATTCAGCCCAATTATTCATTCTCATTCCGTTTTATCTGCAGGTACATGAGTATCTGTAAGCTTATTTCTGCAACTGCAGATTTCACTTCGGAGTTTTTGCAACAGAATGATGACTGCAGGTGCAATTTTGAGAATGTGAGTGCTGAGTTTCCTTCCTTCAAGCCGCACCTAGAAAGCAATTAACCACAACTCTTTATTTTCATGATTTTTCAGAACAAGCGTCAAGAAGTCCAAAACAGCCCGATGAAACCGAAGATGGTGAAACAGAAGATAATGAGGAAGTTGAGGAGGAAAAAAGACAAGTTCTAGAGCGTCCGAGACGTAACTTGCGGAAAGTGAAAGAGGGAGACGACAGTAGTGATAAACTGAAGAATGGCACCGAGGAGAATAACAAGGAAGAAACTGCCAATGGAACGGGAATATTTGATCAAGACATGTATTCTCGGGTGAAATCTAGGCGTCCACGCCAAGCTACTATTTACACTGTCCCCACAAGATCATCTCTCAGACAGCGTAATATCCAACAGCAAGGTAAGATTCCTTCACGTGCTTGTTTGTAGTAGTTTTCTTGGTTGTGAACACTTGTGAATATTCTGCTTTGACTCAAATGTTCACTAACAACAGTTTTTTTTTTTTGAATTATCCTTTTTTTCTATACATTGAAATAATTTTTTTTATTCTCTGTAGGCATTCTGTCAACATCAAGTAGGTATGGGCCCAAATCTTGTTGGTTTTTCGGTGGACTGTAAGTTGAGAAATCTAACCTCTAAAGTCGACTTTTAGTTGCAATAATTATACTCTAAACTCGAGCTGTATGCAAGTTGAGTTCTTTTTACAGCAAACTCGAGCCATCCTTAGTTTCTCAACGGTACTGACCATTAATCAGTGTCTAAATTACAAAGTCAACATCCTTGCCTCAACTTGCGCCTGACCACTGTGCCAACAAAATTCAGACCATGGCTAGTTATTCTTTGAGTACTGTAATTCAAGAGCTTCGTATGTACATTCGTATTTATAATTTTTTTCCCCAAACTCTTTTCGCTTCACTTGAAATTTCTATTCGATAGCATTTTTACCAAAAGCTTTGGAGCTATTGAAACAGTGGTGCATTTGACAAAAATGGAATTGATTTATTTATTACATTTAAATGCACATGTTTGTCCATTTACCCCCCCCCCCCAAAAAAAAAATTGAAATGCACAACAAAGATGAAGGGATCAAGTGATGAAGCAGACAAAATGTATTTATGATTTAAGTAAGGTTTATTTAATTAGCTATACTGTTAGGGTCAGCAATGATTGCTGTGAGTTGGGTAAGTATAGTGGAAGTTGTTAAGAGGAATGTGTGAGTTTATCATTTCCTAAATTTTTTGTGTGAAGATCATACTAATATTCAGTTCGCTTTGATTTTAACAGATGCTGGTAGTTCTGGCGATGAGCCGTCAAGTTCATCTGATGAAGAAGAAGAGGAGGTAGAAACTAAGAGAGTCTCAAGACGAGTGAGTCGACCAATGCGCGAAACTCGAAGTGTAGATGTCGTCATGACTGAACGTAGTTCTGGAATCAAATATCATTTAAGGAAAACAAAGCCAGTCGTTAAACCATTCCAACTACGTGAGTCTTTGTTTTCTATCAAAACCTATCGTACTGAACCTTGGCGCCTTTTTCAATATTCAAAGTGACATATTTTTAAAAAATCAGAAAGAATCCTACGAGTGTTTGAAACTCGGCATGAAGCCTTAGCAGCCATCTAGCCTGCAACTTTTTTTCTTAGGGGCCGTCTCAGATTTCTTAGCGGCCAAAATGAAAAATTGCCCTTTTGAAATGCCTTGAGTCAGGAATACGCCGAAATATCCCAAAAATGGAGTTTAACAATGATTTTCTTAGCGGCATTTCAAAGGCGATTTCTTACCGGAAAATTGCTGTTTGGCCGACGTGTGTTGCAAACCCTGATTTCTACATTTTATTTGGAGCAAGTAATAGAATCTTATTAATATGTAGTCAAATTGCACTAAGTGAACAAGCATCAGGCCCAGGATTTTTTGCTGAATTACTATGGTTTCTCACTAAATTAAATTTCTTACATTCTGCGCTGCAATTCCAAATTTTGTGCCCAAGCATCCGCAAAATCTTTCCCGGACATTTGTAACGCCTTAGGGCTCATTTATGCTCTGCGTTTCTGCTGTATATTGCCTGGGTACACAATTCATAGCGACTCTTTTTGGGACTGCATATCCATTTTTTTTACTGGTGCGACCAGCTCCAAGTGGTTTAAAACCACCAGCAACACAGAATTGTGAGGAGTTTCTGACTACCAGCAGTATGAACCATAGAAATCGCAGGGACAATTTTGCTGTTGCAAGTTTTGGCTGCTCGCCAGGGGGCATTGCTGGCTTATGTAGTTAGAAGTTGCAGGATTTTTTGCCGCTGAGGGACAGGAATCAAGTCAAAGAATATCTACTTTAACTGAGTCAGTTTGAAAAACTAACATTTTTCATAAATAGAAGTATCACAACAGAATGAATGGGAAATTTGGTGTCATCAATGATTAAGGCAGAGATTAGTAATCAGGTTCAACGGAATTTGCATTTTTGTTTCTTGAATGGTAGAAATTTAGACCATTAGTTTTGTCAATTAGCTTTGGTGTGAATATGATAGCACAATGCTTTATTTATAAGGTAACATATTTTGAAGATCCTCATTCTGTTTTCTCCAGAACCAGCTCCTGCAAATCGTCGCTCTTCAAGAGTTTTAAGAGTTCTTTGTGATACTGTGCGTCGAAGACGCAGAAGAAGATCCACATCCAGTTCTTCTGATTCATCATCAAGCAGTGCCATGAGTCATGCGGGACACAGCAAAGTTCCCGGACGAGGTCGTCAAACTAAAGCAAGGTAAATTTTATAGATTCCTATTTGTTAAATTTCAAACTGTCTCGTAACTGCTGAAGCTCGTACTAAATACGAAGTCCATGTTAAAAAGTGTGTTATCCAACAACATATGGAAATTTTCTCATGTTATTTCAAAATCTGAACTCATTATTTAACAACCATAAACTTTAAGGATTTGAAGGATGGTCACATCAGAAAAGCACCTCAGTGTGCATCTTGAATTTGCCAAGTAAAAGAAAATTGTGGGATTTTGAGAGTAGTGTTTTATTTATTCAAATTCTGTCTAATTACTCATTGAACTCCTTGTCTTAAATTTGAACTGCACTTGTCAAACTATTAAATTGTGAAAGATTTAAAGATGTAAATAGCATTTAAGTCTCCTTGCGGCCCTTACTTGCAGTTTGAACTTTTTTCTAGTTTTTTATTAGATTTTTTGAAATATTAGAATGAAGTAGCCCATCATGTTTTCCTCTGATTTTATTTGCAGAAAAGGGCTAGACAAGTCCATGAGAGGTGGTGGAGGTAGTGGAAAAGTTATGGATGGCAAAACGGGTCTTGTGCACGGTGGAAAAGCAGGTCGTTTAGCAGACATTGACCCAGTCACTTTGGATACCAGTATTCGTTTCGAGCATGTTGGAGGATTAGAAAATCACGTTCGTTGTCTCCAAGAAATGGTAGTTTTCCCAATGCTCTACACGGAAATCTTCAAAAAATTTAATGTCAAACCTCCCAAAGGTGTTTTGTTCCATGGCCCACCAGGTTAGTATCAACGGCTGATTCGGACCTATTGTTTCAGTTTTACCACTCAATTGAATCAAAATTTTCTGACAAAAATTGAGGCTCAAATATTCCATTAACACGTTGACTGCCAATCATTTTTTCGAAGTTCTGTAACCCAACCCATCAGAGGGGTAGGTGTACACCCCCCTCCCACTGCAAATCAACTGTAATAAATGTGCAATAAGGAGGAGTTGCTTTTGTAGGAAGTTTATCATTAGGAGAGCAGCGAGGATGGAAAAGCTCCAAATTTGCAACATTGCCTGGAGTTTAGGCTGGTTTCTTGTCGGAAAAATCTCTCCTCTTTCCTTTTTTTTTTCAAATTGATACAAATAAAGGAAGAAAATTTTGTTTTCCCCTCTGTTCTTAATTATAATGAAAATTCTTTATTTTCATAATACAATCCATTAATTCTGACTCTGTCTTTCATGTTGACAGGGGTTGATAATGTTCCAAATGAGCCAAGCTTGCGCAAAAATTGTGGAAAGCCCTCAGATTTTTTTTTTGGGTGACATCAGGAATATAAATGGCAAAATAAGCGTTGATTAAGCCCTCCTTACTATCATTTTAAAATTTTCTTCTCTCCGATTGACCGAAAAACTTGACGACTTGAGAAATAAAGTCATCACTTTTTTTGGAAGCACTTTTTCACCTCGTGTGAGATTGCGGAAAGCAGGGAACTTTATCAACCCCTGCATTTTGATTTCTTCACTTTACTGCTCAATTGAACTAAAAATCCCTCGTTTTCGTCTTATTTCTCAGGTACGGGTAAAACATTACTAGCACGAGCGTTAGCCAATGAATGCAGTCAAGGCCAACGTAAAGTATCTTTCTTCATGCGCAAAGGTGCGGATTGCCTTTGTAAATGGGTAGGAGAGTCAGAAAGGCAGCTGAGACTTCTCTTTGAACAGGTAACAACGTATACCAATCATTACCTTTTGCCTTTCTGTAGGCATTTGGTGTGTCATAGATTGATAAATGACATATTCCTTGATGGGCATTTTGATTATTGTATACCCATCATTTAAAAGGACATCATAATCAAAGTATCAAGTATCAAAAAACCAGAGGCTGGAAATAACAGTATAAATTGAAGCTTGACATAATATTAACAATAGCTTTAAGGAGCATCTTAAAATGTTGGTCATTTATGTTTTTAAGACAATTTTTTACCCTTGACTAAACTGTCTTAAAAATGCGTATGGTTTGATTATTTCATTGATGTTGTTGTTAAGGCCTGAAAAATCTTGTATTCTGAAAATATAATTTCTGGAAAAAACTGCAAATTTTACACTTGATGAAGGAAACACAAACGTTCGAAAAATTTTAAGTCTGATTTCATAAATCTGTATCCTATCAAAAATCTCCAATCATATACGTAATTAAACTTTTGAAACTTTATTCTTGAAATCTTTTCAAGCTTAAAATTTTAATTCTTTAGATAGAGACAGTTTAATGACACTTCAGTGTCATAATACTGGTAAATATGATGGGAATGTGTTAACATGTTGATGGTTTTGTAGGCATATGAAATGCGCCCGTCAATCATCTTTTTTGATGAATTGGATGGCTTAGCACCTGTGAGATCATCAAAACAAGATCAGATTCATGCATCAATAGTGTCAACGCTTCTTGCTCTGATGGATGGGTTGACAGATAGAGGTGAAATCATCGTTATTGGAGCCACTAACCGCATAGATGCCATTGATCCTGCTTTACGGAGACCGGGACGTTTCGACAGAGAACTGTACTTCCCATTGCCTGCCAAAAAGGTAATTTTTTCAGGTTATCCAAAGATAATATTTGCTCACTATGTCATAGGCTTGAGAATAACCATCATGCATTGCTGATCCCACAAAAAAGTTATTGCTTGGAAGACCGTTTTCCTTCCTTAATTTAAGTTTTATTGGTAGTGCATTTTAAAGGCTTAAGGCAGTACTCTTTATCAAGAAGATTGAAGCCTTGCTGTTTTAATCACCAATTTTAAGATAGGGAATGTAACTAAGGTGGGAAATGAAAGTGGATTTCTATTTCTCCAGCACAAATGTAGGTATCTAGTTATTATTTTCATCATTCAATGCAAGCCTGTGTTAATTAAAAAATCACACACAATGTATCGAATATATTTGAGCTGCCAAGGTAATAATGCCAATAAATTGCCAAACCTCTCTCTAAAATCGAACTTTTAACACGCTTGAATATCTTTTAGAAAAAGAACTTCGTTCAGGTGAGCAAAACATTGATTTAATTTGCTGACGTTTAAATCTGCCTGTAAATCATCAGTCTTATTTCAATGAAGTTCCATTTTGTGATCTAGGAAAGTTATCGTGACTTGAATTCATATTTTTCTATTGAAATTGATCAATTTTAATGGTCTAAATTTTATTTCATCCAGGAAAGACAAGAAATTCTAAGGATTCATGTCGATAAATGGGAACAACCTCCCTCTCCTGAGCTGCTTGACTACCTTGCTGAACAAACGTCAGGCTATTGTGGCTCAGATCTACGCTCTCTGTGCAGTGAAGCTGTGATTCAAGCACTACGCCGTCGCTATCCTCAAATTTATAAATCCTCTCTGAAGTTGTTGCTGAACCCAGACAATGTTAAGGTTGGTTGTATTTCTCAATTTAATTTATCTATCTGTTGAGAACCGACATGGCTCGAGTCCTAGAAAAAAGTCTAAAATAAAGTGTATATACTTAAAAAGGTATTAGAAATACAGAGGAAGAAAGAAATCATGGGCTTCCATCCTTTTTCATCATTTTGGAAACCCTGAAAAACTTTAGTAGTGTCTTTTTTCGACCAATTTAATATTGTATATTCCTCCTATTTCAAATGTGCTCCCTGTGAAATTCAGTAAATGAACTTTTTGTCACCATATTTGACAGGGTCTTGAAAGAACAGATTCACTTCCATGTATTCTCTATACCAAATTTATTGACCCAAGATCATTCTTATGAAAAATGGTTTTAAAGGTAACACTTAGAGTACCTGTATAGCGAGAGTGTAGACAGATGTGAAACTCCGAAAATTCATCAGGCCTTCACCAATGCCTCCGTGAATAAAATTAGGGCCCAGAAATGCAGCCAACCTATGAATTTCAAATGTCCAGAGCGATTTACAAATACAATTGTTATGAACCGTCGTTTATAAAGCACGTGATTGGCTTACTTTTTGCACAATTTTACTTATTTTTGCGAAAGAACGCTCATCTATGCACATTCTTGGCCATCTTGGTTAGAATTGAAATCTGTAAGCTGGCAGTGAAATTTCGTGTGTTAGAAGTTGCTCGCTTTTTTGGGCCCTAAGCTCTCCATCAAGCGATCTGTCCATACTCTCGCTATAAAGGTACTCTAGTAACACTCTATTAGAGGTGTACATTGTCACTATAGCCGCAAGTTGCAAGGAAAGTAGTATCTTGTTTTCAATGAAGCAGTATTGAACTGTAGAGAGAAATTACATATCCATGCAAATGTCTGTGATCTAAGGGCTAAAGAGTATTAATCTCAGTACCCATCTCATTTCAATTTTTAACATTTTTATTGCACCCCTCTTCAGGTTGAGAAACTGGATTTTGAAAAAGCTCTTCAAAGTATTGTGTCAGCTTCTAGTAGAGTGACAATCAAACCTGGCCGTAAACTACCATCTTTCATCGAGCCTTTACTCAAGTCATCATTGGAGGATTTAATCAGACATACACAGAAAATATTTCCACATTGTACTAATCAGGATGTTTTGGGGTAAGTCATATTTTTTTTCTTTTTTCTTTTTTTTTGTCAAGCAACGTAAGGATCATTCGTAATAGTGTCCAAATTATCAGGATTTTATAATTACTTCACATTTAGTTTACCAAGAAATTAAATAATCAAGTTGAAACTGATACTTATCAGGATGAATTTGATTTTTTCCCACTTACTTACTCAATTTTGAATGATATCAAGTTACTAAACTGCAGAGTTTTCCTTTGCCATATTCGTGTGCTTTTATTTTGGTGCAATTGCCCAGAAACTCAAAATAATCACATTAAAATTTCCATTTGTGATTCCACTAGATTCACCAGGCTGTGCTCTCGTTTAGTGTATGATAACCAATCTAGCGTCAGATGCACTAATACACTCAGAGTGTTATAATTGTCGAGAGTTTGTTTCAAATAAGATCATTTTGACTTGTTCGTCATCAGAAAAAAGTGTGTGACTGGTCAGCAAGCACCCTAAGCCAGCCAGCCATGCCTTCATTGTGCATTTTCATGCCCCTCCATGATGTATTTTTTACTCTAATCAATTATAATTTTTTGGTTAAGTTTAAGGCTTGTTCACTCGCCAAGACTGCTAATCACAGGTAGCAAGGTGCACATTAATCTCTTAACCTCTGGGCTCCTCCATCATATTGAGCATTGCCCTGTTCATACATTAGATGTCAGTTGTTTGTTCAGCGTCTCCGCCAGAGCACCAGAGGAAGCTATCATTCAGGTGAGATTGGCATATATATGTTAAATGTACTTGTTAGATTGTTGTTAATTGTCACCATACTGTCATGTGAACTTCAAGGGAAGCTATTATTAAAGTGATATTGGCAGTGCATGAACCAACATGTAGTAAATCTAGGGAAGGCTGCCACTGAACTGATGGAGTTTATCGAGGACATTAGATTTGAGAGTCGACCTGCGAGGCCATGTTTCAATTTTGTACAATTACTGTCAACCTCAATATAGAATCCAGATAAGGGGAGTGCATACACATGGCTATATGTAAGCTGAGTATGCTTCCTAAGTGGCAGTGACTTTGGATAGGAAGGAGAGTTCTTGACAACTTTTGCTGGTTGTCAGTCGCTGAACTCTTTGCCAACATTGCCACAAACATGATCTACGTTAAAAGGAATTTTCTTCGATGTGATGCCTGAAATCGGTTCCTAAATTGACTGATCATGAAATCTAAATAAAATTTATAGTGCTACAAGTAAATGAAACCAAACTTTTCCTTATTTTATCGCGGAAATGTTAGGAATGTATGCAAAATTTAGGCCACAAAAAGCTGCAAGTAGTCTAAAATGCCTGTTAGTCAATTAGAAATGGATCTTGTAATGTTCATATTCATGTTACAAAGGTGCTAAAAATTTGTGAAGAACTTCTTGTCCACAAATTCAGGATGTCTCTTGGTGTCTTTTTATAATATCTGCTTTGTTCCTCCATCAGATTTTCTCAGAAATGCGAAGACTGTTACCATGTGTCCTCTTCATTCCTGAAGTCAATGAGTTCTGGGATGTGATTCAACCAAGTGTCAAAGCCGTACTTCTCTCTCAAATCTACAACCTGGACTGCACTTCTCCACTTTTAATAGTTGCCACATCATCCTCCAAGAAAGTCTCTCATGAGGTGAGTGTGAACATAACATCCTCCATCCCTTGAAGTAATTACTTCAGTTAAAAATACTGTCAGCATCATTCAAATGGAAAATAGCAATCAAAAGTAATGACAAGAATTTCAAACTTCTTTTAAAGACAAGACAGAGAGCAAAGCAAGAAGATAAACCTCCAGTGCCCCCAATCACCGTTTGATCGAAGTTATAAAACTATGACAGAGAATAGCAAACTATCTCTCTAACATGCGGTTTTCAATCACTCAAAGAGTTCATTAATTTTTCGCTGCCAAGCCTGTTTTAGTGAGCGTTTTTTTATTGGTGGTGCTGGGGTGAAATCTGTTACAGCGAGCTGCACCTTTTCATAGCTGTGTTGTACAATCAAACTGCTGTTTTTTGGACCTTTGAGAAACGAATTGTAGTGCACATTCGATAGGAAGAGGTAGCATTGAAGTGATTGGCAGAAACCAAGATTAGAAGCGTTCCAGATCCGTTTGTGTTTTTGGAGGTTTTTCTGGCGCAACAGGAACAACTTTGCCAAATGATAGTGGCAGAGAATGTGTCAAATACAGAAAGAATTTGACATACTGAATATCTAAAGATCAGATTATTTGTTAGATTGAAAAGTTGTAATGAAGAATATGATCCATAATTCGTTTTTGACTCCTCTAGGAGTGTAAAATTCTATGTAAGGAATGTAAAGTTTCTGAAAATTAGTGAAATGGTTGTCAAAATCAAAGATTTTCAATCGGTGTCCCATGAGTGGTGTCTTGAATTATATATTTCTCTTTTCAGATCAGGAAATTATTCAATAGTTACCAAGGTGATATCTTTGCTACCTCTAATCCAGATTCCAAAGCTAGAGAAAACTTTTTCCGACCTTTACTCCTGGAAAGAGCTCTGAAGCCTCCTCCAAAACCAAAGTTTGAAGGTATGTAGATCACCCAATTTAACTTCAACTCCTTTTTCATCAAATTTTTCCAAGCTTTCAAATGAATAGATAGAATCTGATCAGCCATGTGTTGGTTAAAAGTGATTCTCAGGTTTTTTTTTTTTATTATTTGATTGTTTTTATTATTTATTTATTGATTTTTACCTAAGACCTAATACATAGTATCCATTAATTAAAATTAATCTAAGAAAAGAAGCCTTTTTTTCTGTTACCGGTTGACAAAATGGTTGTCAAGTAAAATCTAGGCTTGCTATGACAACGTTAAAAATACATTTTCTGCATAGTAATTTTGACGGGACCAACTCAATTTCATTATCGTTATATGTTTGAAAAATTGATACAGTGGAGGTCATTATATTGAAGTCTTACTGCCGTCCTATGCTCTAGAGGATCGAGAGAATTTCAAATTTGCAAGCTATTAGTCCAAAAATTTGGGAATACCTCATAAATTGCATTCATGCTTATGGCAATGTAGTTGTCATAAAAAATGTTCTATATCTTTTATAGTCCCCACAACAATCTGTCATTTTAAATCATTTTTGAAATGTCCAGTTTTCCCTAACCCTCAAACTATCTGTGTGTGGTTTTATTGATTTAGTCTCAAACTCTGGTATTCTGTTTGTTATAGAAGAGCAACTAGAAGAGCTTCCAGTGGCACCACCTCCCTCTCCACCTAAACTTACGGAATCACAGTTGAAAGATTTATATGATAAAGAAGAAAATACCCTCCGAGAATTGCGAATATTCTTGAGGCAAATTTGCACTAAGCTTGCCAATAATAAACAGTAAGTTTTTCATGGTCCCTATCTGCTCACTCACTGAATTTTTCAATTGAAGCATGAATCAAAGCGGTATGTAGGCCAATTTATGTATAAAGCAAAACATTTTCTAAGTAGAGATAAAAATAGGTCTTGCCACAAACAAATGTTCGATCTCTGAGGAAATTTATTTATATGTAGTACCTATAATTTCACTCAAATTTACTAGCATCGTTTGTCAGGCCATATCGCCCATAATCTGTACAATTCAGCCTTCTCTAGAATCTCAACATTTTTTTAAAAATCTTATTGAAATTGAGTAAGAAATAAAATAAATCTTTCTATCAAATACAAAGTATGAAATGTCAACATAAATTTTCAGTCAGTTTATTGAATCTGAAACTCACCATAAACTCTCTGCTCTCACCCGCAGTGATCCCAATAGTTTTCAATAGATTCTAATTTTTCATTTTTCCAACATTTTTTGGTAACCCATGCTTTTTTTTTGTTTTGCAGGTTTTTCATGTTTACCAAACCTGTAGATATAGAAGAAGTACCTGATTATTTACAAATAATTCAACAGCCCATGGACCTAGAGACTATGATGACTAAAATAGATTTGCATCGTTATACGTGTGCCCAGGATTTTCTCAATGATATAGATTTATTGGTTAGAAATGCCTTGGAATATAATCCTGATAGGTAAGAATTCTATTTATTTCAAATTAAGAAGCAAGCCGCATCGAAGCTGAATCCTCAGGATAATAATATTTTCTGATTAGTCTTAGGAGTCCGGAAAGTTTCACTTAAATCAGCAAGCTTTCAAGTATAAAACCTTTTTCATGTTAGGGCTTAGAGCTGGTCAATGAGTGCGTTCAACAGTTTTCCTCAAAAAAGAAGACAGCTTAATGGAGGATTTAACGAGCACAACGAAATGCCCTTGACAGTTTTCCTGATGCGACTGACAATTTTTCCCTTAAAAACCAATTTGCATAAAAGTTTTCAACAAATTTAGAAGTTTGCTTTCGCAGTAGGTAAATTTGACCTGTTACCATCAAATTCACCTGTCGACAGATATCAGTCACCATGAACTGGATTGGTCAATGTTCAGTGGTGACAGTCTACTGGACATTACATATTTTACCTGTATCAATCTCCGCAATTGAACGTATTTATGCCAAAGGAACTATGTCTCATGCAAACCCTATGCACATAGTTCCTTTTAGCATAAATACGTCCAATTGATACAGAAAGTTTTTTCTTCAACTCTTCGATGCTTTCAATGTGTTCATCTTTAAAGTACATTATCTAGTTATGATTTTTGTCACTTTTTACATCTATTCACTTCAAATGTATTAAAGCCTTTTATGCCTCTTTTTCAGGGACCCAGCCGACAAACTGGTGAGGCACAGAGCATGTTACCTTCGAGACACTGCATATGCATTAATCAAAGCTGAAATGGATAGTGATTTCGAAGAACAGTGCAAATCAATACGAGGTGCAAGGCAGCAACGAGAGAAAGTTGAAAGCTCAGTCCATGTAGCAGAGTCTTTTGTGCCAGAATTCGTTCATACCAAGCCAGTGACTGAAACTCACCCTGCGCTTGCGCCATCCTGGTATCAGAAAGACGCTGTGAATAGTAAGTCCTTGTTTCTTCTAAGTGTGACAAAACAAACATGACTAAACTGTCGTGTAAAAACTTATTTCAGAACCCAAAAGGAAAACTGTCGGTCAGTTCTAAAATTGTGTACATTGGTTGTGGAGTATTTGATGATAGTTTTAGATCAGCATTAAACACTTTCTCTTTGGACACTCCATAAATATTACATTTTCTTTAAGAGCCTGACTATCTGAAAATAAATGTTAATTGTAATAAGATGAGAATGGAAAAGAAATTATCTTTTATAAAGTAGAATAATCTCGCTTATCATTAAATATTAATTAGCGGTTCTGTGTTCCTAGAAAAAGAAAACGGTCCCCACGCAAATGCTACAAACACCTACAACTCAAGTAATGTAAGGAGAAGGAAGCGGCGAACATCTCTATGGGCAAAAGGAATAGCAGCTAAAAGGAAAAAGATTGTTAAATCAGAGGTATTGATCATGAAAAAGATTTTTTTGTCGTTGATTTATTGCGTTATCTATCCCAATTCAGCATGAAGACATAATCAAACATTACTCAGCATTGGGTAATGAAATCTCAATCCATTTGGACTACTAACTGCACACATTTGGATGTTTGACTTTTTTGAGGAGGAAAACTTTTTTTTTTACTTTTTTTAAAACTTTTTATTTTATGTGTTTTTTTTTATCTTGAGGTCTGAGAAGTTCAGCTTTTCTTTTTTGAGTGCATATATTCTTTGCTTTTCAAGTCTCAGTTGCTTCAAATTGCAACCAATTCACAATGCTTTGAAATGGAGTGGTCCTTCGAACTCGTTACATTGAAACAGGTCCAGCCTAAGCAAAAGAAGGGCAGTATTCTGCCATTCCCCAAATTGTAGGAGCTCATTTGACATTTAAGCTTACTATCGAATGCCAAATTAATTTTTAACGTGTAATTCTTACCGCCTTTTGTTTAGAATTGTTTCATTGGGTAGACAGCCTCGGTGGCCAAGGTAAAGCCTTGAAAAATTTGGAGAGAATTTTTCTGCAAGTGATATGTAAGTGCTCATTATAACAGTTACGTCTAATTTTTTTTACTTTAGCCCAGTGCTAATGAAACGGAAAATAGTCCAGGGACTCCACCCTCCAAGAAACTTTCTGGTTCCAATACGAATCTAGCGAAGAAAAATAGTTGCTCACCAACTTCACCAGCAGTATCTGCAGTAGAAAATTCAATGACAACTCCAGCTAGGTACCCAACAAAAGCTGAGAGGAAGGAACCATGTCAGATGGCAACGAGCACTCCTATTCACATTACTCACAGGACAAGGAGTTCCTCCCGAGAACATGCATCTACAGAGAAGAGTAAGTTCTGAACTTGAAACTTTTTGATTATTTTAACTACCCTCCATTAAGAAATGAGGATGTAGGTGTTTCCAGAGATTTGCCCTTAGCTGAAAGGCTTCATTAAATTCTTGTGAAAGAAACATTTTTTCTTTTCTTTTCTTTTCTTTTTTTTTCTTTCAATGCATCCACCTGAACAAATGAATTAGCATAAATACAGAATGTTCAGTATGTATAGAATGAAAGCACTCAGCCCCAAATCATGAATTAATCTCGCGCAAAGCTACCATGGTGTTGTTACAGGTGTGCTACTACGCTGTGCCACCCAAGGTGCAGTAATGTCGGGACTGTAACGACAACATTGCTGTAGTTTTACACGTTCTTAATTTGTAATTAGTGGCTAAGAGCTTTGAGGTATGTTGAAAGTGATGAACTTTTTGATGTCTGGGTTGCATTTTGTCCATTTTCAGAGAGATGTAATGATCGTCGAATTTCTCTTATCTAGAAAACTCTGAAGGGCAAAAAAAGCTTTTGTGAGCATTGAAAATCTTCATTTTCAACTTAATCCTTTCTCTGAGTATCAAAACGGTTGGTCTTTCGACTAGAAAGCTGCAACTTGTTAAAGTCCTTTCAGATGGATGTTTAAATATTACAAATATTTTCATTCTATTACATTGTACCTATTTTTAGCCTTTAAAGTGCCTGAGAGTTATAGTGCAGTGTTGTATAGATGGCTGGAATTATTTAAGTAGGTTTCATCACATTTGACGCTAATTTTTTTGCTATCACGGACTGAGAGAGAGAGAAAAAGAAAAACTCTTGTCTAGACAAGCTCTATCATGCCTGCATTGTAACTGATTTCTCCGTGCCCCTCGTTTTGACGTAACCAAAAACTTGTTGGATTGTGGAACAGGAATCCTGCTTCATTTAAATGGTTATTTAATTTTTCACTCACCAGTATTTCTGCCACTATTTTTTTTGTAGCCGCAGAAGAACCTCTTGTTAATGGCTACAATGAATCTTCTGATGAAGAAATGGCTGCCAAAGAAGAAAAGGAAGGGACAGTGATTGATGTAGAGGAATCAGCATTGTTAAGTGATGATGATAGTGAAGATTGCCAGTCTCCTGTTCTCTTAAAGAAAGGTAAGAAAGAGCCAAA